AAAGATGCAGACGTAGAGAATGGACTTGAGGACATGGGGAGGGGGAAGGGTAAGGTGGGACGAAGTGAGAGAGTGGCATGGACATATATACAGTACCAAATGTAAAATAGATAGCTAGTGGGAAGCAGCCGCATAGCACAGGGAGATCAGCTCAGTGCTTTGTGACCACCTAGAAGGGTGGGATATGGAGGGTGGGAGGGAGATGCAAGAGGGAGGAGATATGGGGATATATGTATATGTATAGCTGATTCACTTTGCTATAAAGCAGAAACTAACACACCATTGTAAAGCAATTATACTCCAATAAAGATGTAAAAAAAAAGAATCAACTGGTAGTTAGTAACTTGCATTTTCTGCTGTTGTTTAAGGTTTAGGTGACTAACAGTGAGAAATCTTTGGATGAACTTTGCCCATCACGCTTGGTATCTACTGTAACACTTACCATAGGTGTACCAATAGAGGGCACTCTTCCCATTGAGAGGCACAGTACTGAACTTAAAAGATTCTACCTCAGTGCCTCTCAAGCAGAAGTAGCAATGAATTACCTGTTATAAAACAGTGCTTACATATATATGGAATCAAAAAAAAAAAATAGTTCTGAAGAACCTAGGGGCAGGACAGGAATAAAGACGCAGACGTAGAGAATGGACTTGAGGACACGGGGAGGCGGAAGGGTAAAGCTGGAACGAAGTGAGAGAGTGGCACTGACATATATACACTACCAAACGTAAAATAGATAGCTAGTGGGAAGCAGCCGCGTAGCACTGGGAGATCAGCTCTGTGCTTTGTAACCGTCTAGAGGGGTGGGATAGGAAGGGTGGGAGGGAGACGCAAGAGGGAAGGGATATCGGGATATATGTATACGTATAGCTGATTCACTTTGTTATACAGCAGAAACTAACACAATATTGTAAAGCAGTTATATTCCAATAAAGATGTTAAAAAAAATAAAAAGTACCCGAGTTAACACAACATTGTAATGTAACCATATTTCAATACAAAATAAAGGGAAAAAAAACAGTGCTTAATTGTTTGTTTTTTCCAATGTTGTACCCAGGTATTACTTTGTTTCTCCCGAGATACATCTGTGTTGGGTCATTTTGCATACAACAGTGCCTCACCACCGAAATCATACATAAGAGGTAAAATTTTAGTATATAAAGGAAGTATTCTTTAACACTTACATAATCATGCCAAGACTGTTTACTTTATAGCATATATTGGTTGTCAAAATTTTTGTTGTAAATTATTTAATAAGATGTCTCTCAGGTTATTGTAACCATCTTTCACTCCCACTTAAATCAGTGCCCAAGCCACTTATCGCAGATCACAGGAAAGTGGTTCCCAAAAACAGCATTTAAAATTACTTCTTTATTTTTCCTGTTTGCTCTCTCCTCTGTTGCTGTTTTTGCCATATCTGTTGACTTTTATTTACCCTTCTAACTATGAGTTTATCAGTTGAATTTTCTTTTTCTTTTTCTTTTTTTCTTTTGCTTTCTTTATTCCTTCTCTCAAAATGTTACACCACACTTAAAGTTTAATATAATTTATATGCTATTAGCTTTCTTAATTCTATTTTAGTGCTTTCTTCTCTTTATCACTAGCTGCCTACAAGATAATGCTATTTCAGTATCCTGCTATCACCTGGCAATTGAACTAATTTCAGCCGGAAGCCTTTCCCCGATTTCTCCTTTTTATTAAGTAGTGAACACCCAGCCCTGGAAGCTTATAAGCCTATTGTGTATGGTCATTCTGCTATTCCCATAAAGATGCTGTTTGTCCTGTATCTCCGAAGTCCAACTGTCTGCCTGATTACTACAACCCCTGCCCTAAGACAGGCCCACATTGCCAGTGCTGGGATCAGGCTCCCCCCACTTGGGGGCTCTCTTGGTTACATTGCTTCTATACTGAATTGATAGAAGCATTTGGTTTACTTGTTTGTTTCTTTCACATCATCTGCTGAAAAACTGATTATAGAACTTATCTAATGGACTTACCTCTAAATTCAGCCAAATTTTAATTCAGCCCTCCATCAGTTGATCCTGTCTTAACCTAGCTAACTTTGATTCTCTGTTTATTCCACATTACCCCACTTTCATTCTAAGCCTCTATATATTCCCTAAACATGGAAAGATCCCCACTCCTCCACCCCCAAAATCATAGGTTCTTGAAGAACTAGCCTATATCTCACAGTATCAGAAAAACTCAGATTATTTCCTTCTATGTAGGG